GTCTTACACTTTTTCCCTCACTGGCTTGAGACTATGATCCTTGTATCTCTGCCTGCCTAGTACTTGGAATTCTAGGCATGTACCACCATACCTTCTTTGTGTATATTCTTTTTTTTTTTTTTTGGTTGGTGGTGGGGCTTGAACTCAGAGCCTGTGCCCTGTCCCTTTGTGTTTGTGCTCAAGGCTAGCTCTCTACCACTTTGAGTCACAGCTCTATTTCTGGTTTTGAGTGATTAATTGGAGCTAAGAGACTCCGGGCTGGCTTTGAGCCATGATCCTCAGCTCCTGAGTAGCTAGGATTATAGGCATAAGCCACCTGTGCCAGGCAGTGTACACCTACTGAAATTTTAGCTGGGTGTATAATTTAAATCCTATGAAATGCACCAATCGTAATTATTCTATTTGATAAATTTGAGTGAGTTTATTTAGATGTGAAAGCATTGCCACAGTCCAGGTTTAGAACATTTTGACTGCTACAAAGTTTCTTAAGGTTCATCTGTACTGCTTCCCTCTTTGTCTTCTTCAGGAGGTAAAATTGTTTTAAAATACAATTTTAGTAGTTCTAGATATTTCAGACATAAATAGAGTCAGTTAATACAATTTTCTTTGGGTGTAGCTTTTTCTACTAAGTATTACATTGCTGCAATTTGTGCTTTTTTGTTATCAGTTCATTGCATTTGCCATTTTTTAATTTTTTATTATCACTTTATATTTAATCTCTCTACCAATTGATGTATAGTTTCAATTTGTTTACAACTTTGGCTTTTATGATGGACACTGCTATCATTATTTGTTTAATGTCTAAGTTTTAAATTGTTGGGTATTGAAAATGTGTGTATTTGTGCTACTTTGTAACTACCAAACTACCAAACTGTTTTCCAAAGCAGATAGCCTGTTTTGTATTCTTACTAGCATTGTGATAGGTAGCTATTTCTCTCTGTTCCCTCCCAACTTGACATTTATTTGATCAATTTTTAAAAGTTATAGTTATCTTAGTAGGATTTTATGTGCATTTTCTAATGAGTAATGATTTATATTGAACATCTCTTTATATGTTAACTTAATATTCATATGTTGTCTTGTTTTGGGTGACTTGCCTTTGTGTCTTTTGCCGATTTAAAAAAATGGCTAAAATGGTTAATTCATTTTATTGGTGAGTTCTCTGAGGATTTTAGTAAATTATAGTTATCAATTCTTTTTCTTTTTGTGAGTTGCAAATGTTTTCTCCCACTCTAGGATTTGCTTTTTTTTTTCTTACTTGTGTCATTTGAAGATTTTTGCAGTATTTTAGTTTTTAAAAATGGATTGTGTTTTTCTTGCTCTACTTAAGCAATCTTCCTAGCTTAAGTTTCTAAGCTTTCTGCTTGTTTCTTCTTTTTGGAGGTCTGATTGTCTTAATTGATTCAAATATGATCCTCATTGTTTATGTTGTTATAAAAATTTATACTTACTGACATATCTATTCACTTTTGCACATAGCTACCCAAATATTTCAACACCATTTATTCAAAAGACAAACTTTTTTTCATTAAATTGCGATGAAACATTGAGAAAAAAATAAATGACACAAATGTGCATTTATTCTTCTGTACACTTATTCTGTTCTCCTATTTATATTTTTGTGTATAGCTTTATAGTAAGTTTTGATGTCAGGTAACTTAAGACCTGTAACTTTAATGTTAAAAAAACAATCAAGGTGGGATTTTGTTCTGTTAGTTTGGGCAATTGACCAATCAATTTGATTGTCAGTTGAATCTTTTTGTCTTATCAAGAGGAAAATGGGTTATATCATTTTATGTTTAGATCTTTAATTTCTGTCTACAGTGCTTTGTAGTTTTGAGTATGCAGGATTTGTCCTTTAGTTAAGCTTATTAATAAGTCATTTTTTTAGCTGTGCTGTAAATGAATGAATTCATTTTTAGAATAGGTAATGGCATTCCTAGCATATAAATGAAATGCAAATGGGTTTTGGTTTAGGGGATTTTATTGTTTATATTTCTAAGCATTTGAAAAAGGGTTTCTTTTTAGCAGATTCTTAGAATTACCAACACACAAAATGATAAGGACTACGTACAAGGATATTTTGAACTTTTTTTTCAACCCATTTAGCTTCATTTTTCTTGCTTTATTGTATTGTGGGGATATCATTGTTTATATTCGTTGCCTTTTTTGTGACCTTACAGAAAAATGCATTGGGTCTTGTACCACTTGCATGATGCTTGCTGTGTAACTCACATTCACACTAGAAGGGTTGTTTTTAACAGAGTCAATTAATGTAATATGCATTATTAATAGAACAAAGGACCCAAATCTGCTGATTGTCTCAGTAGATGTAGAAAAAGCTTTTGATAGCATCCTGCAAATGAACAAACTCAAACCATAAGTAGAGAAAGCAACAACAGAAAATCCTACAGCTAATGTATAATTGTAGGGAAAAGTTGACTTCTCCCCTTAAAAGTTGGGAACAGAGTACTACTTTGATTCAACATTGGACTGTAGGTTCTAAAGATAGTTTTTCTCACTCTGATGTTTTATACAGCTAATTTTTGAGCTTGTAGAAAACATGAACAAAAACTGAAACTTTGTTTTTAGATTTATGTAGACTTTGTTTCTAGACTTACCACTTAAATTGTGGTCTTTATTCTTGCCATATAGTGAGTCTTTGTGTGTTCAGTCCATATACATGTTACTGAAAACAAACCGAATTACTCTATTCTCATTTTTCTCCATTTTTCTGCTTTGCTTACTTCTTATCACTCCTTGTCATCTTCAGGTTGAGGTAATCAAGTCCTGTTTTCTTCTTGGCCTTTGGAAAATATTTTGGTTATTATTATTTTAATGATGAGAGCTTCAGGATATTTGGGTATCATTGCATTGTTTCTTCCAAGAAGCAGTTCCTCAAGGTTTTAGTAAAGCAGCTTTCTCTTTTTCCTTAGGTTCACTGCTTCAATTACTCTGATTCCATGTTTGTCTAACTCATGTAGTAATTCCAGCACAGTGTTGAACTAAGTTATGTTCATTGCAAATGAACAGGATCTTGCTTTTTTGGAGCATCATATTCTGAGGTACCCTTTAATAACATTCCTTTAAAATGTTTATTATTACTCTTGTATAATAGTTGGTAGTTTGCTTTTTTTTTTTTTTAAACAGAATATGTCTTTTGGAGACTTTCTTTTCTGGGTAACTATACTGAAAAAAGAGTAAGCTAGAAAGATAAAATTTCAAAATCCCATCAAGTTGAATCATTTGACATCAATTTGTAGGTCACCATTGACAGCATTCTTAAATATAGTCACGGTTACTTTCTTGTTCTAACTTTAAAATAGAAGGTAATAATATATTTCAAGAAGGAGAGAAATCTAACTGAGAATGGGACAATTAAATTCTGCTAAAATTTCATTGATTTGATAGATAACATTGACAAGCTGCTGGATGGGTTTGCTTTGGGTATGGTATCCAAGGTTGGAGATTATAATTTGAGAAAATTCCTGAAGTTCTTATTTTAAAATTTTTTCATGATTCTTCCTTTCCTCTTTAGTTCTATCCATTTCTTTTCTTTTAAAAATTTTATTGTCAAGGTGATATACAGAAGGGTTACAGTCACGTAAGTAAGGTAGTGATTGTACTTCTTGTCTAACTTGTTACCCCTTCCCTCAGTTTTCTCCCTCTTCCCCTCCCAATCCCCCTTCCTGAAGTTCTTATCACATTCTAATAAGTATTACTGCAAATTTGGTATTTTTAAATACATGTGCAACTAGCTTTTTTCTAGTTATAAATGATTAAGGAATATGATTGTTTCCTGCTCCTCTGAAAACTTTTATCAGAATTAAAATCAAGGACTGATTTTATTTTAAGATACATTTTGGTTTTCTACTCAGTATCTGAACTCTAGTTATTTCACTGAGTTAGAAGATCAAATAAGACACTGTTTGTGAAAGAACTTTGCAGCCAACTGGTGAAGCATGTGTCTTGCTTAATGACTGCTTCCATTTTTCCTTCTTCTGACCAAACCTGCTTCTTTATTCAATGGAGATGGCATGAAAATCCAGAAAGAACTACCTCCATAGTGTGTACCTCCCTCTTAGAATTGTTATTTCATACTTCTACTATGAAGTAGGTAGTTTAAAATCGTGACTGTCTTCTGGCTAGGAAGGTGGCTCAGTGGTAGAGTGCTTACCTTGCATGCATAAGGCTCTGAGTTTCATACCTTAGCACCACATAAACAGAAAAAAACAGAAGTGGCACTGTGGTTCAAATGGTAAAGCACTAGCCTTGAGCTGAAGAGCTGAGGGACAGTGCCCAGGCCCATACAGTTCTAGCCCCATGACCAACCAAAAAAAAAAAATTATGAGTGTTTTCATCCTTCAACCTTTTAATTAGAAAAGCAATATGTTTTTTATTGTAGAGAAACTAGAATGAATTATAAGGAAGATAAAATAATACTTTCAAATGCAAGAGTAATTGCTACATTTATGTTTGTAAAATTTTAAATGCAATTATGTTGAACAAAAGGTTACTTCCTTTTTATCACTTATTTGATAGCATCCAGTTTAACTGATTTTCCTAATATAATATTTTAGAGACTACATAGATCCCAGTGGAATAATAATCTCTTAATATACCTCTAGTTTTTTAAAAAAATTGACATTTAATAGATATTTCTAATTTTTTTGGTATTAGAAACAATGTGTATAGGGAACATCCTTAAAGCTAAATATATGTACATGTCCTCCACAGCTGGGTTTTTGTTATTGTTGTTTTGTTTTGTTTCTTCTAATCAGAGTAATTCTAGGCTTGGAATAGCTAAATCAAAGAAAAAAAGACATACTTATGTGTCACACACACACATACACACAATTTATATTTCCCTGCCAAAGGACTCTTTCTATATTGTACTGAAGAAGAAAAGGTACCACATTTATTGAATCGCATTAGATAGACTTGCAACTTGTTTGGAATTGTTACCAAACTATCTTTTTCTGTCTTGTTATGGTGCACAGCTGACCGAGAGAGGAGGGGAGAATCTGAAGACTGCAGATGACACCAGAGCTACTTTTCAGCAGCCTTCTCAGTTTTCCTTCTCGGAAAGCAAGACACTCAAAGCTTGGAAACAGAGGGTGAGAATATTTTTCCTGAGTTCTTTGGGCTTAATCATTGTAGCTTTAATGTATTTCAGACAATTCTTTCTCAGTTGTAAATTATCTTAGAATCCCAAATACATATTCTGTGCTTTACCTGTGTGAATTTTTTCACTACACAATGTGGTTAAGAAAATAAAGAGACCAACATCCTACCTTGAAGGAATTTATAAGTAAAGGATAAATATAAATAAATTAATTAAACACAACAAAAAGGTTAAATAGAAAAACAAACATATTCTTGAGGATGCCATGGACAGGCTACTTCTGGAGAGAGGTTGGGAAGCTTAACATAATAAATAATATTTGTGCTGATGTTACTTTATTAGTTTTTAACAACAACAAAAAAACCCACAGGAAATAAAAGGTTAATATAAAACCTGAAATAGCAATCTGACCTCAAGTAAAAGTTAATTATTGTTTTCAAGAAAAATAGCAAAATGTATTGTTATTGTGGGTTAATTATGGTATAGGTCACCGATTACTTTTGGAATTCTGCAAAATGGTTACCACTTACAAGACATTTCAGAGAAATGATAGAATAATTGGATTACATTAACATAAGTAGGTGAGCAGTGAACAAAACAGATGATTGAGTAGTTCATTCTAGTTGGATTAGCATTCCTGTTTTCTTTTTCTTTTTCTGTCGATTGTGGGGTTTGAACGCTGGTCTTGGGCGCTGTCCCTGTGCTCTTCAGCTCAAGGCGAGTGCTCTAATGCTTGAGCCACAGTGCCACTTCCAGTTTTCTGGTGGTTTATTGGAGATAAGAGTCTCATGGACTTTCCTGCCTGGGCTGGCTTTGAACCGTGATCCTCAGATCTCAGCCTCCTCAGTATCTAGGATTACAGGCATGAGCCACTGGCGCCTGGCTAACATTCCTGTTTTCTAGTATAGCTACAACCTAAATTCATTTGCCATGTCTTATACTTTTAAACCTTATGCTATTTATTTTTGGGCAAGTGCAAAGCACTATGATGAGTTCACTTTCAGCTAGTGTACTGCAGACTCAGGTAGAAGGGAGGTGGAAGATACAGTGTTCTAAAACTCAGTGTCAATAATTTACCATGATATTTCCAAATAGGGAAGGTAACTTTGAGCCAAACCTTTATCTATATAAATAATATTCCTGGGGCTTGGAATAGGCTTAATGGTAGAGTGCTTGCCTAGCATGCATGAAGGCCGGAAGTGGCATTGTGGCTCAAATGGTAGAACGCTAGCTTTGAGCAAAAAAAGGTCAGAGACAGTGCCCAGGCCTTCAGTTCAAGCCCTATGACTGGTAAGAAAGAAAGAAAGAAAGAAAGAAAGAAAGAAAGAAAGAAAGAAAGAAAGAAAGAAAGAAAGAAAATAGAAAAAAGGAATTAATACGCTTGTCCAGTGATTATAGTACATTTCTTTAATTACTCTGTTTATATTCAGAAAACCAAGTGATGTAATCATTTCAGTCTTGCTCTTTACTGTTTATTTATTATATCTTATAATCATACCAATGTGTCAAATTCATTCAATAATCTAACACTCTGGAGATCGAGGTAGTGGGATTGAGAGTTTGGGGCCAGAATAGGCTACATGGGAGGTGGCATTAGTCAAGGCATTTCTAAAAATGGAAGGGAACAAAGCAAAAAGGGGTACAGAGAGAGACAGAGAGGAAGGGATGGAGGAAGGGAAAAGAAAAAATCAGAGTTGGATTTTCTTTCTAGATTAAAAATTGATTTTCTAAAATAGTAAATAACTTTAAAAGCATAAGAAGTGTTTCAAAAACATTTCAATATTTTAATAGTGAATACGTCAGGTGCATATGTTCTATAATGCATTTATTATTAAGCAATTCAGCATTTGGAATGAGGAGCTCCTGGTCAAATAAATTGGGAGATGTGGGTCTCATTTCTTCTCAGTAGGCTTCCCATTCATCAGGAGCTTGTGTCTCAAAAATGGTGAATCTGATAGATCAGTATTTGACTAGTTGAAGACTTTGTACTTGTATATTTTGTCATATAGTAACATTCTAAAAGATTAATGTTTTATTTTTAAGAATGTCACTTTGAATGAGAGCAAAATGAAGAGTATAGGGAGAAAATAATTTTGTTATTGAATTTCACAAATGTCATAAAGGTTTTATGTGTTAGACCAAATTTTCCTTCCTTACTTTAATACTTAACCTCTTGTCAAGGATATATTCATCTTATATAGTAGCTAACAAAATAAAACTCATCTTTGTTGTATTTTTTTGTGCTTTTTATTAATGTGTGATTGAATTGTTGATGACTTGGCATAAATGCATTGAGTTCTTGTGTTACTTTTATGTTACATGTAGAGCCATTTGTATAATGATACAAAAATAGCCAGTGATTCAGCTAGTTCTGACAGGTTAGGTTGCCAGATTGTTACAAACGGCTTGTTGATGCAATAGCAATGGAAGAATAGTGGTTTCCCCTTCTTATCCATACTTCTCAGTTGGATGCCTGATGCCAGAGTACTACAGAATTCTACATCTACAGCTCCACACTGTTTTCTATACCTACATGCCTGGCATAGTTTATGAATTAGGCACAACAGAAGAATAATGACTTGTAATAAACTAGAACAACTGTAACACTATTATAAAATTAGCAAAAAGTTGTTTTCTCTTTCTCAAATATATCTTAGTGTATGGTACTAACCAAACTGAATCCCAGATGACTAAAACTGTAGAAAACAAAGCCACTGATAAGAAGAAATAGCAGGTTATAAAAAACTCTTTAAACATCTACCCCCAACTTTTAGGAAGAACATGTTACTGGCAAAACAAGATCAATACCTAGTCTGAGTAAGTTAATTCGGTAACCATTAATCGCCATATACCAACATGGCTGTAATTGCCATTATCCAGTTTGGCTGTCTCATTGGCATTTCCTTGGCTTCGTGGACAACCCTGGTAAGAAAATCTGATTGCTTGGCTCAGATGAAGTGTTGTTACTTTTCAACATTGCTTCCATTCACTCTAATTTCCTTTCTCACAGCCAACCATCTTATTTTAGTCTTATCATTTCCTCTTTACTGATGTGACCAGAGCTTCCGAAAATGCCACTGTATATGTCACTTCTCTATGAAAACAAACGTAGTGATTTGTATAGCATAATGATCAACCTTATTTTGCTATTGCAGTAGAAAATGTTATTATTATTAATGCATTTTCTAAGTATAATATCTTTAAAACAGGACATGTTTTATCTCTTTTACTTAGTCCTTTCATTGATCAAGGGAAATTCCTACTATACTAAAACCCCCATATGAATTCTTTTCTCTGAAAGTTTTCCAATAAATAAAATAATTTAAAAATCTGTGGATGGTACTGCCATTTCACTTTGTCTTTTTTGCTTGGGCTAACTGGTGAACTTGATATTCTCCTTGATTCTTTTCACATTTACCCTTCAACTTTGTGGTCTGTGGTTTGCACATCTGAATTTGGTGCTATTCTAAGAGTTTTTATTATACATTTTATTTAAAAAAGCTAGAACCTTCCATTTCTAGATGAGAAATAAACTAGTAATTTTTAACTATCTTGATCTCTTATTTTTCATTTTATATGCAAGATGGTTCTTATTGCCAGTCTACCACGCTTCTGTTGTAAAGCTATTCTCCAGCTGTTGCCAGGCCTCTCTGCTCCCTCCCTGCCTATTGAAGACTGACCTCTAGGCTGGAACATCTCAAAGTATCCCTGATGGTGGTCCAGTTCTTGCTTGTGTGTTTTCATTTTATTTCAACTTTTGAGTAACTCAAGTATACTTGAGTTGTATACTTAAGTATACAACTCTAGTATACTTTTAAAAGGCTTTGGCCCATGTCAACTTGGAAATTGAGAAAAAGATGGAAACTAAGCCCCAATATTTTGTCATTAAATTCAGTAGACATTGGGTTATTGTTTCGTTCTACAAAAGTTACCCAGTTATTAGCAATTCTGTTCTTTGAGGAATTTCCTCCCCCCCTTTTTTTCCTTTATGATACTGGAGATTAAACTCAGGGCCTTATACTGTCATTCACTTTCTTGCTGGTGGCTGCCCTTCCACCACTTGAGCTAGTCTGCTAGACCAGTTTTTTGTTTGTTTGTTTTTTGTATTTTGTCAGTCATGGGGCCTGAACTCCAGACCAGTTTTACTAGTTACTTTGAAGATGGGTCTTGCAGACTTTTCCTGCCTTTCTAACCTCAAACCTCCATCCTCTAGGTCTCAGCTTCCTGAGTAGCTAGGATTATAGGCAGGTACTAGAGCCCGGCAAAGCTTTTCTAACATATACTTTATTTCATGGACACTCCCTTTCTTGGGCTGAAGTCCCTCACTCTAAAGAATGCTGAAGTTTATTTTCCATTTGGCAAAGCCTTGATTATCCCTAGAGTTATCTACATTATCTACATGCCTCTTCTGAAGATAATTCCCTCCTTTGTCTCCTTTTCTTTTTCCCCAAATTTGCCCTTTGGTGCTTTCTCCATTTTGTCCATGCCTTTTCTTAAGTATTGTCACACTACATCACAGATTATATTTTCTCATGACCAGATTGTGGACTTAGTAAACTCTACTTTATCACTTAGTTATCCTTGTAGTTTCAGCTGTTAACATCTGCCAGCTTCTTTACAAACATTTGTGAATTTGTGGGTTTGGTACTTTTAGTAAATTCAGGATAATGCTGAGATGTTTTAAGACATCCTTAGTCTATTATTCTTCTTTACAAAAAGATTGTTCTTACTTCAACTAGATGATGCATAAAAAACATTCTTTATCTGGATAGTTATGGGAGAAATTCTTGGAATTAGAAAGTAGATATTTTGTTTGAAGACAACCAAGACTGTCCTTCTTTTACCTCAGTAGCACAGAAGTACTTCAACTTCCTGTTCTTAGGATCCTTTTAGATTCTTAAAACCATTCAGGTCCCAACTAAGTTTTTGTTGGTAGGAGGCATATATCATGATACTTGCCACATTCAAAATTTAAAATGAGAAAAGTTTAAA